GCCCTCTGGGAGGCTGAGGCAGAAGGATCAAAATGAAAGCCCAGGCTGGGCATCTTAGTGCCTAGAGGGACCCTGTCTCGAAATTTAAAAAAAGTGATGGGGCTATATAGCTCAGTGCAAAGGTCCTGGGCTCAGCCTTCCATGTCACACACACACACACACACACACACACACACACACACACACACACACACACTCACACACTACCTGGCAATGCATTATCTACCCAGTACAGCTGACCCCGGGCCTCGCTTGTGCTGCCCTCCCATTTGCAAGCGGCGAAAACCCGGAGAAGTTGGCAGACTGTGGTCCATTCACTTCCCCCACAGCTGTGCTTCCCAAAAGGAGCAGGAATGCTGGGTGAGAGGCCACTGAGTTACTGAATCGGAATTCCTTCCAGCCCTGTGCAGGTCAGGGAGCAGGATAGGGAAAGAAAAGGAAAGCATAAGAAAATGCAGTGTACACGAGTTCTAAATCGGCATCTGGTGAGAACAAGCATCCCGGCCGGGCCTCTGTGGAACCTGACTGGACCTCCGGAGCAGCCTGGGCCATGGCCGCCATTCCGCTCCCCGGGACACACCAAGCCTCGGGACGCACTCAGTCCTTAAACGGCCGCTGAGTGTCTTGTGCCGGACTCCAAAGCCTGGCCTGTTTCTCAGCTACTGTCCAACAAGTCAGAGGTCCTTGAGCGAGCGGCTGGTGGGCTGTGACCCTTGCTTCTAACTTAGTGTGAACCCCTTCCTGTCTTACGGCCACTCGGGACAAGCTTTTGCCTAGAAGTCCCCCGGAAGTTGTACTTCCTGCAATCCTGAATCTCCGTGCCATTTCCTCGGTTCCATGACACCCTGGGCCTCGCTTCTCACACACCGGGCTTGACTTGTCTCGAAAATCACCCCTGGCGTGGTTTCCCATGCTTTTCCCTCACAAAGCAGTCTTGCTCCAAGAACATTATCGTCATTTCCTCATGTTAGCTCCCTACAGGTCGCCAGCTCCTTAAAATAGCCCGAATTTTCTAAGTTGGAGGAGGAGAAATGGACACTGACCCAGGCTCCTGCTGCTACACACAGCCCCCTGAGCCGTGCTCAAGTTCTCCCATTCAGGACTGCATCCCTCTCCACACTTCTCCGGAAAGCGGGCTTCGGCTCCGGAATCTCTGCTCATCGGCTCTGTAACGGCAGCATCTCTGCAGAGCTTCGCGGTCACCTGGACGCGTGGAGAGGCTTTGCAGCTGAAGGACAGGGAGCAGATGGGACCGCGCAGAGGCACGGGCTGAGACACGGTCAGGGACTTTGTCTTATGTGGAAGCTCAGCAAAGAGCCAGCCTAGGCTCTTCCTGTGGCCAAGAGCCCAAGTCCAGGCACTTGAGGGACCCAGCTGACCCTCCTGAGACAGGGCCACTCACCTGGTCCATCTGAGAGCTGAGGATGGGTGACCAGACCCCGTGGACCCTGCGCATGTGAGGGGCAGTTCGGTCTGGGATGATGGCTAGTTTTATGCTCTCATTTAAAGAAGTTATCTCAATTTGATTTTATTTTTTGCTATTATATTTTCAAAAAACTTCAATGAGTGCTTGATAAGAACCAGATTTCTTCTTTACACAGTGGAGACAGAGAGGAAGAAGCACAGATATCACTCCCTTGCTGACACAGATAGCCAAAATTGATGGTGGGAGTGAAGAGACCATTTGACTCCATTTTGTGGATTTTCTGGAAAGATGTACTTCTAAATAAATCACTTTATGGGGATTTGAGCAAAATTGTCAGACCCTGGGCTTCATGAATTTAAAACAGAGCACTTGTGAAGTTATTTACTAACAGGATTTCAGGTGAAGGCGGTGGTGCTCTCAACCTTTTATCCTAAATACTCCCTTTCCCTGAGCTTCCTGAGCTTCTCCGGACTTCGGCCCTTTCTTGTGCTTATTTCTCTTCAGTTCCTCCTCTTCGCAGAGCATTCAAGAAATATTCACTTTGCTTTGTATTTTCTATGTTTCATGATTGCAGGACTCTAGGGAAAGTAGAAAACTGCTCACAGAGAGAAAGAGAGAGCTGGAGCTAGAGAGAGAGAGAGGGAGGGAGGAATAGTTTTACTGTTCCTAGTATTGACACAAAACCACAGCGTAAAGGAGCAGTTTATCTGGCTCAGAATTTCTGGGGGTTTAGACCCTGGCAGCAGGAACATCATGGTGGACAGCATAACGGGGCAAGGCTGCTCAGTTCATGGCATCCAGGAAGCAGAGCAGGGACCAGGGCGGAAGAGGAAAGGATGAAGGACCAGGAAAGGACCCCAAGATGGTGCGTCCGTGACCTGCCCGAACACCCGGAGAGAAGTGTGCTTCCCTGAGCTCCTTGGTTTCCCTCAGGCTGCTCGCTTTGCTACTCCACCCTTTGCTACTTCCTCCTGAGGAGGAACAATCGTCCCACAGTTCTTTTCACCATGCTTTCATTAAAAAAAATGCTGTAGAGATAAAAGTAAGTTTTCATCTGAAAGCCATAAGAAAAGGAAGCTGCAAACTAGATATGCATTTTCAAGTTGTCCACTTAGGAGGAGAGCGCAGGCAGCCCCTGGTCTGAGACTGGCTTGCTGCCTTCTCCCCGTGCAGGGTGTGAAGTCGCTACCACGCTAAGTGCCACCTTTGGGCCTAGGAGTGAAGCGGCCTTTGGACGGCTGGCGGTGCTGAGTCCAGCGCATGGGGCTGTGAGGCCACTGACGCTCTCTTCGGTGCCTGGTTCCTGGCAGCAAGGAGGGGGAGGCAGCTCTGCTGCCCTTCTGGAGGGCCGGTGTGAGCAGCTGGAAGCCTGTGACATAGTACAGCGAAATGAAGCAGATGGGGGCAAGGCTGGTGGTGAGCGGAGGGCACGGATGGATTTCTAAGCTGCTGCCGCTGACCTTTTACCCGAGGCCAGCCATGGTCTGCCCCAGGGATGGACCCCTCCGCCCTGAGCTAAGCACTCGTGTCAAGTGGTATTACCACAGACATTTCACACCGGTGATTCTCAATTTGATAAGGAGAGTTGCAGGAGTTCTCTTCATAAATGCAGATGCTCAGCTGCAAATCCGTTACTGTGGCCTGTTACTGTGTTGCAGCAGATCCACAGGTGATTCTGCTGAGAGGTACCTGCCGAACTAAAGAAAAGCCTAGGAACTGCACACAGCTCTCCAGGCCTTTACATGTGCAGTGGGAGCACTGAGATTTGCCACAAGCTCTGCGGTAAAGTGGGTTTTCTCGACAGTTGCTTCACTTTGCCCTGTTCTTGTTTTTATAAAGTTTTATTTGGCTCTCGAGGACCAACTACGTTTTCCGACAGCCATATTTCCAAAGTGGCCAATGAAATCAGTGGCCGCAGATTTGGGAGTTTTCTGAGTCTTCTCAGTGAGGGCTGGGGTATGTGTGTGGATTTTCTACACGCTAAACTACTGTTTCCTAGACTTGGTTTATCAAGTAAATATTTTGCAAAGAGTGAAAATTTCTGTCCGATTTTGTGACCACAAAACATACTCTGTAGAGGGTGTGCTTGGACCCCACAGCTTCCTCCTCCACTCGCTGTTACTCTCCCTTCCTCAGTCCTTTCCAGTGACTTCCGACCCGACCGGCAACAGTTACTCTAGCCCTGAATACGAGTCTGCCAGGAGGACATTGCCACTGTGGAGATTTGTGTAAATACGCATCTTTACCATCCTAAGTGGACATGGTCTTTTTCAAGTAGACTATTGGTAAACCTTTGAAGTAATACCTAATTTGATGAACGTTAAACTCCAAAAAAAAAAAAAAATCATAAAACCTAACCACCGCTAGCTCCTCAGTGGGAGTCCGAATTCTAATTTATGCAAAAGCTTTGCGAGAGTCAAACATTCCCATCAGTGTGCAGTTATTGTACCCTGGTTTCCTGGAGGTGTCCACACCGGTCGGGGCACAGGGGATGTGGCGCTCGGACCTCTTCCCTGGCACTGATGTTGGTTGGAGCAAACTGCAGAGCTCAGTTATCCTGGGGGCCGAAAGCCCAGCATCAGTCCCATGATGAAAACAGACAGAAACACCGGGTCTGCTTTCCCACCAAACTCTGGCTTCCCCACCTCCCCAGGTCCCTCCCAGTAATTGTCCTCTTTCTCTCATTAATTCTTCAACTACTTTTCCTTTACTCTTCTTACCACCCTATTACTTTTTGTATCTAAATAATTATGACTTAATTCCTTGTCATGATCCAAAAAGTTGTGACCGAATTCTAATTTATGCAAAAGCTTTGCGAGAGTCAAACATTCCCATCAGTGTGCAGTTATTGTACCCTGGTTTCCTGGAGGTGTCCACCTCGGTCGGGGCACAGGGGATGTGGCGCTCGGACCTCTTCCCTGGCACTGATGTTGGTTGGAGCAAACTGCAGAGCTCAGTTATCCTGGGGGCCGAAAGCCCAGCATCAGTCCCATGATGAAAACAGACAGAAACACCGGGTCTGCTTTCCCACCAAACTCTGGCTTCCCCACCTCCCCAGGTCCCTCCCAGTAATTGTCCTCTTTCTCTCATTAATTCTTCAACTACTTTTCCTTTACTCTTCTTACCACCCTATTACTTTTTGTATCTAAATAATTATGACTTAATTCCTTGTCATGATCCAAAAAGTTGTGCAGGTCCAATGACCAAAAACTTGACCATGCATTTGTCAGTTCTGCTCGGTGGACGAGGTTTCCTAAAACAAAACTCTAACTTTTGAACTTAATTAGCTCAAATGTTCTAAACATAAGAAACATCTCATTTCTACCAAGCCCCCTCACACTTTGCTATATGGTAATTGACGTATCACTTATTCAGGTATCCTTTTACTCTACCCTAATCTGTATAAATTTTTCTCAAGTGAGAGCATGTAGGTTTAAAAACTACAGAGCATGTAGGTTTGAAAAACTATAATACAAACCAGTGCTGTTTTAAGATATATTTAGACATTTTTCTTGGACAATATTTAGAGTCTTCTTTGAGATTCCAGATACTTTTCCAACTACCAACTCCGATAAGAGAGCCTCCGTGCCGCCCCAGTGGATGAGTTTTATTGCCCACCAGGGCTTCCCTCCTTTCATCTCTGTAAGGTGAATAAATCGCTTTCTAGGCAGCATTTGGTCTTAGACTTCTTCTCTCCAGACACAAATCTGCTTTTGCTCTTTGTGGCCATATTATAGCAGCCCCTTGATATTTTCCAGAGGAGTTGGCTTTGAGCGTGGCCTCAGTGGACTCAATGTGAGGAATCTAAATGGAAATCAAGAAAAGCAAGGTCGTTGGCATCTCATTGGTTCATTGCTTGGGGAGCCATTTTCTTAACATACAGCCTTGAGTTTGTAGCATGCTTTAGAGGAATTTTAGATTGATCATCTTAAGAGAATCTTTCCTACTGGAAAAGACATAACTACTTCTACCAACTAACTGTTATTTACAAAGAAGGAAAACATTGTTTGTGAGAGTTATCCAAACAGGACTAGGGGAGAATCACAGGCAGAGTCTCCTGAATCAGGACCAGTCTAGGAGGTGGGCGCCCAGAACAGGGAAGGAGGAACAGAAGTAAGTAACCAAAGGAGGGAAGAGCACCCCTGTGTCTTAGCCTGAGGTGAATAGAGTCTTTTTTGACAACAGAATTGTGTGGATAATAAGTAAAAAAGAAACATTTAAGACATGAAATTATAAAATAATATAAGAAATGCATAATGAAATTTTATTCAGTGCTCTTCTCCTCAGTGTACATACCTCAGCCTGAGAATAACAGTTTTCTAATACTTCTCCTTTTTCTTCTTCTCTACCTCTATTTTCATCACTTTCTTTTTCCTTCTTACTTTTCCATAAAGTTTATGAAGTGAAGTCATCAAGACAGAAGTTTAAAGTTGCTATGTCGATTAAGAATTAATGTTTTAAGCTAAAATGAGAAGCATCAGATTGATAACTAACTTTCCAATATCCATGTTCATGTTGAAACAGGGTTAGATACATGAGCAGGAACAGATTCGATGAGGCGGTGAGCGTACTATTTGGCAAACCCGGCATTGGGGATAACCTCTTTCCCTTCTCAGCAGAAGGTACTGAGTGCTGTTTACATAATTTACTGACCACAGCTGGGTGATTCTATTCACCACGTGTAGAGAGGGATTTGGAAGTACACAAAGTAGGCATACATTTTGGGGTTAGAAAGAAAGCTCTATGTCAGAATTCAAAGATTCATAGACTTAAAGAATCTCATGTTTGGAATATTTAAAAGCTCCTACTTCAACCTATTCCTTAGTGCTTAAATCAGCCCAGATTCCAACATCTACCATGTGCTGCTCTGCGCTGTTGTGTGCAGTGTAGACTGTGTTCACGTTGAATATTGCTGGGAGGCATCGGTTGTTGACAAAGAAATTGTAGCTCAAGGAAGTGAAGTAATTTTCCCAAAGATACATAGCTAGCTATGAAGGGGTAGATTCATGATTTAAATGTACTTTATGTTGCCACCAGGCTTACAATGAAAAATCTGAGATGACTTTACCTTTTCATCTGGAAAATTCTGGTTCTTCATTAATATGTGCCCTGGCCATAGCTGGTAGATATTTGTGTCATGACACTGAAGTGTTAAGAGTGAGCTCCACGGATCCCTTCTCATACTGAGAAGTTGAGGACTTGTATTTGCAGACTCAAATTCACTTTTCTTCCCTCCCACGGAAGACAAAGAGCCATCCATCTTGTAGAAGAGAACATTACCTGAATGAAGAGAAATATCCACTTACTTTTAAAATATGTACAGCCTGGAACGCAGCCTTTATTCCTCATCAAATGAAGTGAAAGGGAAATAAGTCTCTCCGGGTCTTAGCAGTTTATGGGGCTCAAGTACCTAAAGTTCCCTGACAGTTAAGCTTGGGTGCCAGGTACTTGCTAAGTACAGCAGAACAGGAGGAGAACACAGGCATGTCTGGCACAGTTATTAGAATTTAGTATTAATTTATGGGACTTCTCAGACTGCAAATCTTGGTTCTTCCCACTGTAAAGCATGCGCGTGCTTAACCTTCATTGAGACAGCACATGTGGATGGCTGGGAACTGCCCTCGGCATCTTACATATGTGTCTCACTTGTGCTGTTTCCGGCCGTGTTTCACAGATAAGGACTTCATTTCAGGGAGAACCTAAGTGCTCTCTTAGGCTCACAGATCTGGTAAATAGGCGCTGGAACTCAACCTGAGCAGGCAGTGGAATGTGCCCACCTTCAGAAGAAGCTGCTTGTGTAAGGTTAGTGGTTTCCCCACTGGTCTTCAGCTGAGACAAAATCTCAAAGGAGATATATTATCCAAAAGGAAGACAGTTCTGGATGGGGCTACCTTGAACACAGCAATCCAGGTCTTTCCCCGAATGCCAGGTCTCTCCAGAGTAGCATGTGGTGTTTTCCTCCTTGTCATTCTGCAAAATTCCAACCCAAAACCCCCCATCTACATGACTAAGAGCAATGTGAGAGTCAGAGAGCAGCCTTGCTTCCAGGGGCAGGGGAGGCTGATGGTGCTACAGAGCCCTCTGATGGACCCTTGAGAGGTGCTCCTCAGAGACTGTGGGACACAGCAGTGTAATTTAGGTCTACACTAAGTCTTCTTAACTGACTTCTATAATGCGGAAAAACTTTTGAGATCAAAACTTCAATGACAGACTCTTTAATGATAAATGTAATGATAATGTCACACTGATAGGGGCAAGGACTCTGGCCTGTGATTGGAGTTTGAATTTTGATTTTGGTGGTTGGAAATGGACAGTTGTTTAAAAACCCACTTTTAAATATGCATCAAATATCAGCCTTCAATTAAAGTTGTTTGTGATCATTGCTATGTACTTTTAGGTATTTCTTTATCAGTCCTTTACATATTGGTATTTTAACTACTAGAACGAGCTAAGGATAAAAAGAAAGATGAAATAGTAAGAGTAAAATTTTGCCCCATGATTTATAATACAATAGGAATTGTGAAGCTTGAAAGTATTATAAAATATATAGATTTTTTGTGTAAATTTGGAAAAGCAGAGTTGTATGTGTGACAGGTACTTATGCACCCTCTCTGGGTTCTTAAGTCCCTGAAGAAGGAAAATATAAGTAGTTTCCATTGACTAAGATGACTGTATGGTAGTATGGAACGGCACACAGCAGGGACGGCATTTCTTCTCAAGATGACTGCGGGCAGATGGCTGGTGCACAGCCCAAAGGCTGCATTAAACGGAAGGTGCTCTCTCAGTAGCCTTCTGCTCATTTTTCTCCCATACCCCAAATCTAAGATTTCCTTTGATGGAATGCCATTTTTTTTTCAAAGAAGAGATAACATAGCAAAGCCAAGACTAATTAAGATCAAGAGCTGTGGCTTCCAACACTAGCCCTGTCATTGAGCAGCTATGTGACCTCGGTCAGTTTCCTTGCATTTCTAATTGTGCATTTATTTCACCTACCGGACAGGAATATGAATAATATTCACCTCATTGGCTTGTGAGGATTACGTGAGCAATGCACTTAAAAGCATTTAACACATGACTACCATTAGTCAAGCTTATAAAATTCCTGGAGGCAAGGATTTATGTCACTGCTTATGAAATAATTCTTGCATAGAAAATGAGATGTTTTGTGCAATGCGTGGTTCGTGCAATTTGATCAATTCTGTGTGAGACAAAGACTTAGGCCAGGGCCTTCCCAATTTCTCCTTGGGCTTCCAGCTCGCACAGAGCTGAAGAGGTGGCCTTCAGGTAGACTCTCAGGCACAGAAAGTCAAATGCCCACGTTATAAGCAGGCAAGAAGGAAATGTTGCTTATTTTCACTACATTAAATTATTTTTGTTGTTGTATAGGTCACTACTGTATTCAATCTATCTTGAAAAATTTTTGAATAAAATACATTTTTGCAATTTAGTACTATGTGTACACATTCAACATTTGTAATTTATGATTTTAATTATGAAAGATAAAACTTTCAAAGCAATGCCATAAATATAGACTAAATGTACTTCCCCAAAACCTAACTCATTCAGTCAAAATGGAAACAACATATCAAACTGTTTGCTTTTAAATATCTGATTTATTCCCTTTGTATTGATCCTTTCAATAGTTATATGATCATAATAAAATATTAAAAAAGAAATTTTCCCACATTGTTAAAATTTTAAGCCAAAACTACCATAATGCTTTCCTGCATGGGTAGAACTCACAGAAAAATGACTTGCAGAAGTGGCTTCATTTGAAAGTGATTATCCACCTGATTTGGTATCATATTAAGAAGCTAGAGATCTGTTGGTTCTCAGTGCAAATTACAATTAAAAATCTCTTATTTATAATTAATAATTGCATATTTACAATAAAATTGAAAGTAATTTTACTACCAGTCATTCTGTATTAAAAGATCTCTTCTTCTGAATGATTCTTCAAATAATTTGATAAGTAGAAAATGAAATGCTATTCTGCAAGTGAGAGTAACGCTGACCTGTTAGGAGGTAAATACATTCGTTCAGCATCTCACTCGTCCACTACAAACCCTGGTCCTAAACTCTTTCAAACAGGTTGTTTCCACCTACTGCAGAATCATTCGACCTTAGAGTACACCCCTGTCCCTGGACTGACGGTCTGGAGTCACATATCAGGGCTCTGGGGTGCAGAGGACTTGTCTAGCTACAGGGAGAAACTAGTGCGAAGACTCAGGAGTGACAGCAGTTCTGGAAGACTGAGATCTCTACGGAAATCTGTCAGTCATCACCTAACTTCGTTAAAAATAAGGCATGTGTTTCTTTTTAAAATTCAATTAATTAACTCACTCTTATTTTGACACGACCGCTACGCCCGTGAAGACAGCCTGTGATAAAGCACATTACGGTCAGAATTCAGTATTTACCACGTTCTTTTCAAACCAAAGCTCTTTCCCGGCGACGCCAGCAGAGGCCGCCAGGAGAGGGCGCCGCGCGGGAAAGTGTCCGGGCCGGCGCTGCGTGAGCCGAG